CAGTGGCTGAACTAATGTGCATTCCATCAACAGTGTAGAAGTGTTCTTTTCTCTGCAGCCTCACCAGGATCTGTTGTTTTTTGACTTTTGATTAACAGCCATTCTGACTGGTGTGAAATGGCCTCTCGTGGTTTTGATTTGCATTTCTCTGATGATTAATTAGTGTATTAGTCTGTTCTCACACTGCTATAAAGAAATACCTGAAACTAGTGATTTATAAAGAAAGGAGGTTTAATTGGCTCACAGTTCTGCAGGCTGTACAGGAAGAATGGCTGGGGAGGCCTTAGAAAACTTTCAGTCATGGTGGAAGGGAAGCAGGCATGCCTTCTGTGGTTGGAGCAGGAGGAAGAGGGAGCAGGGGGAGGGCCTACACACTTTTAAACAACCAGTTCTTCTGAGAACTCACTCTCATGAGAAGAGTGAGGGAGAAACCTGTCCCCATGATCCAATCACCTTCCACCAGGCCTCTCCCCCAACACTGGGATTACAATTTCATATGAGATTTGGGTGGGGACAGAAATGCAAACCATGTCATTCAGTAGTGATCTTGAACAGTGCTTCATATGTTTGTTGGCCATTTCTGTGTCTTCTTTTGAGAAGTGTCTGTTCATGTCTTTTGTTCGTTTTATAATGGAGTTGTTTTTGGCTTGTTCAATTGAGTTGACTTTCTTTATAGATTCTGGATATTAGATCTTTGTCCGATACATAGTTTGCAAATTTTTTCTCCTATTCTGTAGGTTGTCTGTTTACTCTGTTGATAATTTATTTTGCTGTGCAAAAGCTCTTTAGTTTAATTAGGTCCCACTCATCAGTTTGTGGATTTTGTTGCAGTTGCTTTTGAGAACTTAGTCATAAATTCTTTCCCAAAGCCCATGTAGGAAACACCCAGCATGGTTATTTTTTTATATATGGCGAAGGGTAGGAGTCCAGTTTCATTCTTCTGCATATGGCTAGCCAGCTACCCCGCACCAGTTATTGAACAGGGAATCCTTTCCCCATGGGGGATTTTTGTCAAGTTTGTCAAAGATCTGATGGCTATATGTGTGCAGCTTTATCTCTATTCAATACCATACATTTCTAAACTAGAGTCTGTAAGTTGATTTTGTCTTTAGTAAGCCTTTGCTCACATTTGATCTTAAGATCCTGTTTTAAATAAAGATGTATGAATACAGAGCTGACAGTGGTCATAGCACTGAGGTCCCAGCTCTCACCAGGAAATGCCAGAAAGTGGCTTTTGAGGAAAAAGATTTCGAGTTGAATCCGACTTGACCTTTCTGTGACCTTGAACAATTCACTTAACCTCTCTAAGTTTCGGAGGAGTAAATAAAGTTTGTAATATGAGAAATAATTGATAGGATTAAGTGAGTTAATGTTTAGATAATATCTAATGTAATGCCTGACTTACTGTGGGCACTGAATAAATTGTAACTTATGGCTATTCTTGTTTTAGAGAAAAAGAGAAGGAGCCTTACTGGATCGATTTCTTGGCCCTTTGTGTTAGTAAAAGCAGACAAACTTTTTTGTAAAGCTGAGCTTTATCTTTTATTTATTAGTTTGAATGAACTTGGACAAGTTAGTTTTCTGAATCTCATTTTTTCAAATGAAATGTAATTCAATATAATTCCTTCTCTAGGGGATTTAATTATTTATTTATTAGAGACAGGGTCTCACTGTGTCACACAGGCTGGAGTGCAGTGGTGTGATCATAGTTCATCATATCCTCAAACTACTTGGCTCAAGCAATCCCCTTGCCTCAGCCAAGACTACAGGCATGTGCCATCGTGCCTGGCTAATTTAAAAAAAAAAAAAAAACCACAAAAACAAAAAAAAAAAAACATTGTAGAAACAGGATCTCACTGTATTGCCCAGGCTGGTCTTGAACTCCTGGCAGTCCTCATGCCTCAGCCTCCCAAATCGCTAGGGTCCAAGTGAGAGCCATGGCACCCAGCCTTTCTCAGGGGATTTAAAGAGAGAATCCATATCATACTGCCTGACACAAGAACGTAATTGTTTTTTCAGATGGAGTTCTTTGTGCTGACACCGTCTCTGCTCACTGCAACCTCCGCCTCCCGGGTTCAAGTGATTCTCCTGCCTCAGCCTCCTGAGTAGCTGGGATTACAGGCACCCGCCACCATGCCTGGCTAATTTTTGTATTTTTAGTAGAGATGGGGTTTCACAGTGTTGGCCAGGCTGGTCTTGAGCTCCTGACCTCATGATCCACCCGCCTTGGCCTCCCAAAGTGCTGGGATTACAGGGGTGAGCCACTGTGTGTGGCAAGAACATAATTTAATAGGGTGACTGACCAATTAATCATAACATTGTAAGTGCCAGGTAAAGTTAGTGCTAGAATAAGCACTCCTGCTTTCCTACCAGTGGGAATACTTGTGAAACTTTTCTTTCTTTTCTTGTATTTTTTTTAAAATTTCTCTGCTACTTTTCTTATTTTAAAAAAATTCCATTTGTGTGTGAAGCTATAGGAGAGCAGATGCCTTCTACCTACACGGGTTTGAATCATTCCCCCGGCACTTGCTGTGAGTTTGTATGTTATCTTCAATAATGGTCCTCGGCTGCACTGAGCACTCAGGTTTGTCAGTTCATTCAGTCATTGATCATATATTTATCGAGCACCCCCTGAGGTCCTCACATTTTCTCGATTGCTTTCCTTGACAGTATTCATTGTGAAAATCCTTAATTGTGTCTTTTGTATAGGGAGTACAGATTCATACCATGTTCAATACACTAGGGACTGCTCTGCGGAAATTTCTATCAACCTCTCCCAACCTGGGTGTCCTTGTCTCTTCCTTGCCCCTGTCAAAGTTTAAAGGACTTACCTGATGTCAACGTCCTGGACATCCAGCAGTGTTGCAGCTGTGTCTGTGTTACTTCTGGCTCTGCAACAGATGTGGATGGAGAAGCTCCTGCCGTGTAATGTTGACTTCCAGATGGTGGGCGTGGGGAAAAAGAAGGTGTGACAACAGGAGGGGAGACCTCAGAAAGTGGGTGACAGGAGGTAGCAGACAGGTAGTGGGCAAAGGAAGGAAATGATGGGTGGCAGAGGGAGGAATCATAAGGAAGAGATTTGTGACATGCCTTATAGGAGAAATGGACTAGAATTTGTAATTAGCAAAATAAATGTCAGTATATTTATTTCAAAAACCATACAATGTTAAGATGTTTACCATCAGTTATGTATGTCCACATGAATAAGTAAAATATGATTTTTAGTAGCTGGTAATTAACGTTTGTTGCTATTGTATGGTTCCAGAAAAGGTATAATTATACATTCATAATATATATGCTCATGAACTGGAAATTTTAAATTAAGAAATTAAATTGATGTTTTTGATTTGTCATATTTAACTCCTTTTCAACTTTAGGTTTAGATTGCAATGTGCCCAAGAATACTTTGTAGTTTGTTATTAGTAAACTTAACTGTGTGTGAAAATTAGATTTGTAGACAATTCTTTGATCATAGGGGCATGTAAACAGCCACAAGTCAAATATACAATTCTTTACTATCTTCAGAAAAGTTAATTAATACCTCTGCCTAAATTAGAAAATAGTTACTAGGCTCATTACTTTGATAGGGTCAACTTTAACTAGTTCTGTAGTTCATAGGCAGACACCCATCTTCATTGTATTGATGTAAGGGTCTTAATTTACTAAACCTTTGGTTCAATATTGATTTTATCATATACTTTTAGTAACTGATTTTAGTTATAAAACTGAATTCACATCCATGTCAGTGTAGAACGGTAAATTTCAAACAACAATGGTGAATTTTAAACATCATTATTTAAAATTTGTCACCAGTTCTTGTTTTACCAGATAAAAATTGATAGGTATTCCTATATGTTTTGCTGCTTTTACATTTAAAAAAATGCCAGTACAAATAAGGAATTAAGAGCCTAGAAAATTTTGACTTCCTGGAACAGAACAAAATGTAATTGCAAACCAAAAACTATACAGAATAAACCTAAGATCTTGAAAGTATTTCTAATCTTGAGAAGAAAACCTGAGAACCTAATATCCATAGAGTCCCTTGGAAAGCCATTTATTCTAATTAATTATTCATTCATCAAACATTTGGTACCTCTTGAAGAACATGCTCTTGAGGAGCTTCTCAAATGAGGAAACAGACAGCTAAGAACAGTGGGATGAGTACTGTGGTAGAGGTATGCAGAGGTTAGTGTGTGATGGAGGTATATACACAGATTTATGAGCACACACCATAGTGATATTCAAAATATTAATCACTACAGCATGGGAAACAATCAGTGAGAATGGACACAGGCTGCAAGCAACAGGCTTAACTGTCCCAGTGCACACTGGGACAGCTGAATATCAACCCTGAACATGGGAGGGACTACCTATTTTGTGTTGGGAACTGGAGTCAAGGAAGACTTCCTGGAGGAGAGGAGATAATGGCTGAGCTGAAACCTATTGGAGAAATGAGGGAGAACCAGATAATGGGAGTGATAAGTGGGGTTTTACCAACAAAGGGAACTTCACAGAGCCTCTTCTTTGTTGGTGTGGGGAGAAGGGTAGTGGGAGTCACAGCAGATCAGTTGCTCTCTCTAAATAACTTCTTCACTCCTCACTCTTCCAATCACTCCTTTTATGCCCTCCATGTGGAAGAAGGCTTTAAGAGTTGTCTGATTCTTCTACATCTCCTCTGAATGTATTTATGGCGCTCTGTTCCATAACTTACTTGGGTGTTTGATATCTGTCACTTTAGGGTTTCAGCCTTTGATTTTATCATCTTGTTTTACATGTCTCAAAATGAGCTTAGAGATCAGGGGAATGGATAGTAGAGAAGTAGGAGAGAACTACATATTTTAATTCACTGGGCGTAGGTGAGTAGAGGAGGTAGAGAAATGAACATACCCAATCCACAGAGAATGGCAGTGAAAATACTGAGATGCTATTAATTCAAGAAAGTTTTAGTATTTGTTTTGTCAAATGACATTATTGTTTAGGACCTTTGTTTTCCCTTACAGATGTTGATCCTGTCTCAGAATATTGCCCAACTGGAGGCCCAGGTGGAAAAGGTTACAAAGGAAAAGATTTCAGCTGTTAATCAACTAGAGGAAATTCAAAGTCAGCTTGCCTCTCGGGAAATGGATGTTACAAAGGTACAGAGAGAGATTTTAGTTTAATATTACTTAAGGAACTATTTTCTTTAAAACTTTTTTCAGCCGGGCGCGGTGGCTCAAGCCTGTAATCCCAGCACTTTGGGAGGCCGAGGTGGGTGGATCACGAAGTCAAGAGATCGAGACCATCCTGGTCAACATGGTGAAACCCCGT